GTTTTTTTGTGATTTCTTAAACTTCAATACTCCCCCACATTCTGTCCATCAATCACTTGGAGGCTTAGAATACTTGATTTTCCCTGTATTTGTGGCAATATCTATATTTCTCAAACCTGAATTATTGCTTTGACTGTTTTTACTTTCTCTCACCTTCTTTTCCCACCATCCTTTTTCTCTTCCTTTTCTATTTCCTAATTCATATATGTCAGAGAGAAGGGCATCTGGCTGTATCAGGACCATTCGATCTCTTCAGAATTTACTGGGCAGAATTGTTGAAGCCAGAGTACTGAGAAGTATCTCTAGGCTTGAAAGGGACTCAGCGAAAAGCTCAGATGAGCAGGCGAGGAAGGAACATAAATGTGCATCATCCCCCGGGTTATAAGGCCGGGAGGCAAAGCAGGGAGAAAAAGGGAAGGTGATAGGCTGGGAAAGAGGAAGAAACACAGATAATGTGGAGGGACCTGCAGGAGAAAAGGTTGGGGAAACCTGTGGGGGAAACGGACACTCAGAACTTAGGGCTGAGTGTCTGTGGAGATCCACTGAACTGCAGAATCACTCTGCTTTTTCCACGTATCTCTTCAGTTGCAACAGTGAATGGAAGTGGGTGGCCATCGCAGGGCCAGTCCTTCATTTGGCACTTACTGAAAGGCATCTATCTGCCTACCTGGCACTTCTACAAAGAAGTGGAAAGCAGTCCCTGCTCTCAAGATGGTTACAGTGTTCCTGGAGGACTAACATTCACACATGTGAAGGTGACAGAGGCTGGAGCGGTTTGCTCAGAACAGGCAGAGTATAAATCCCACCCTCATCTGTCATACAGCAATGTTGACCTTTGTCTCACAGGGAAATGGACAGCCAGGCCAACACACACAAACACAAGAGCAGTTTCTACTCTGCCTGTGGCATCCTAGCCCAGCCTGAGTACTTCCATTTCCCCGTATGCTCAGCCCCCTCTGCCTGGGCACAGGTCCTCGGCACATCCTGAATTAGGGTCTCCAGTTCTCTCTGTGCAGCCCAAACTCTTGATCATGGATTCTGCTTGTACAGAAGAAGGGAGCAGCAACTTGATTGTTCTTTCTTCTCTGTTTTATGTAAAACCATTCACTACATTCTGCTTCATGTCCTGCCCACCCTGGAAATACTGATTTTTGTTTTTAGACCTAACCACCAGCTGCAGCCATAGGTAGCTTGGGCATATTGTTAACATGTTCTTGGACTTAAGGAAACAAAGCCTAACAAAGTTAAGAACTCCCTAGTTAAGAGATCTTGCAGAATTTACTTTCATTTCTCTATGAAATCATTCTTTTGATGGAATTAAAGGTGTCACAGATATTACTCTGTGTTTGGATCATGTGGTTCAGCCCTCATCTGACCACTCTCCTCTCTGTTTCTCTGAGCTTGACCTTCTTGGATTCTACATATAAGTGAGATCATATAGTACCTTTCCTTCTCTGGCTTATCTCACTTAGCAAAATGCCCTCAAGTTTCATCCAAGTTGTCACAGTGACAGGGTTTCCTTCTTTCTCGTGGCTGAATAATATTCCATTGTGTATATATGTGGATACACACCTTCTGTATCCATTCTGTTGGAGGACACTTAGGTTGTTCCCGGGTCTTGGCTATTGTGAGTAATGGTGCAAGGAACATGGGAGGGCAGATAGCGCTAGGAGATCCTGATAGCAATTCCAGTGGTTATAGTCCCAGGTGTGGGATTGCTGGATCATATGGTACTGTACAAGTGTTTTGATTTCACTGGTCTTTCCTCATCTGAATGGGGTCAATAGAGATATTTATCTCCTAGAATTTAGAGGCTCAGATGAAATGATTTTGTAAGTAGGGCTTGGCACATGGGTGCTCAGTGTGTGTGAGTTTTCTCCCCTTTCCCAGGCCTTGTCCCGGGGTCTTCCTACATTCCCGAGAGGAAGTCAAGTGGAGCAGTTATACGGCCAGGCATTGGAGTTAGGCTCTACCACGTTGCTGCCCTGGGATCTGGACAAGTTACTTAAACTTACCTTTAAAATTTGAATTAATGATTGCACCCACTTCATAGGGTTGTAATATGAATGAAATGAGGTGACTCTATAAAGCGCTATCCCCAAGCCTTTTGCAAACATTGTCTGGGAACACTGGCCTCATTTTTCACCGCAGTTTTGCCATCTGTAGCTCTGACCAGCCCCACCCAAGCAGAGCACCATGCATTCCATGCACAGGTTCTATTCTAACCAGTTCCTGAGCCCATCTAGACCCAAACAGAAAGGTCCTTATCAGCCTCCTACCACCAGCTAGGTGATCTGGAATTAGTGTGTAATAGCATTTCTGCAGACACCCGGATACATTTTCATTCTCCCTTAAAAATGTGATTCCCTCACTGCCCTTTTTTCTCAGACTGTGCCCTCTGGAGTAGTACCTTAAAGCAGGAAATCAAGACCTCTTGACGTCTTTAGAAAGACATAAGATTGAAAGCTGTGTTCAGAGAATTAGACCACAGTGGTTTAAGTTATGGGAATCAAGAGTGAGAGATAGGACAGGGCTGCAGTCAGGAACCCCACGTCTTCTACCCCTGGAACACACAGCAAAAAGGGAGAATGAAATGTGAGGAAAAGGAAAGTTATTAGAGGTCATGGGTCCTGATGGCCCCTCCTTGGGCTGCAGTTTGGAGAGGGCAGATATGTTAAAGAGAAACAGGGATTACTGTAAAAAAAAAAAAAATAAGGGGGAATTCTGTCCAGATTCCAATTGGGACTCTGAAGCAGAACAGACCATGCCTTGGCCATTGTCACTCTCTTCCACTCAAAGCCTTCTCTCCTAACCCTACACTACATTATTTGGTAATACATTATTTGCATTATCTCATGTAATCCTCACAATATCCTTATCTTGTAGATAATGCTATAATTATCACTAGACAGATAAAGAAATTCATGCACAGACACCTAAAGTAACTGGCTTGATGTCACATAGCTAAAAGTAATAGAAACAGAATTTGAACCTATTCAGTTTGTGTTATTAATCTCTAAGCCAGTGATTCTCAACCAGGGACAGCTTTCCCCCCAGGAGAACTTCCGCAGCATTTGGAGACATTCTTGGTTGTCAGAACTTGAGCAGGGGTGTTGCTGGTACATACGGGGAAGAGGCCAGAGAAGCTGCTAAACATACTGCAGTCCACAGAACAGCCCCCGTAGGGAAGAATCAACTGATCCAAAATGCAGATAATACCGAGCTTGAGGAACCCTATTTCAGGCCAATCAAGTTCCCAAGTCCTGACAAACACTGAAATGGTGCTGGCGCTGGTCCCTGAGGCTCACCATACTGTGAGCTAGCTTCAGAACCATCCCCACTCCCACCCCCTACCTAAGCTGAGCAAAGTTTGAGTGAGGGGTTCTTTCAGATTGCAGTCATACACAAGCAGAGCCCATTTATATCCTACTCTAGTCACAGATGTTTGAAAGATGTATTTGGTTTCTGTGTGTGCTGTCGACTGTCCACCTCAAACCATCAGGACTACAGTAACTGCTTTTCTTTCTACATACCAAAGTGCTTAATTAGCACTTTGAGGAAAAAAAATGATAGTGATGAACTATAAGCCGTCACACTTATCACATGGGTCAGGGTGAAAATGATCCACAATAGTATTTTTCTCTACCTTTAATTTAGAAATTATGGTTCAGTGAGAGGTACTTTCTCAAATATTTAGGCTTAGAGGCAAATGCGTGCTCAACACATCTGCTCCAGGAACCATTCTGTGCACATTTTACTTTTCATCTCTTGCTTCCTCTCTTGCAAAACAGAGTGAGGTGTTCTGTGAACAACACATCAGCAATTTGGTGTGTCTGTGTGCCTAAAGGTTGACAAACTATCTTCTTTTTTTTTGTTACAATCAAATGACTACCAACACCTAGGAACTAGAAAGCTGGATTGGGGTGAGGCGGGGGTTGGGGGAGGGAAGCCTACAAGTAGCTCCTAGTACATCTGCAAATTCAGGAAACTTGGAACCGACCTGGGGAATAGCCAAGAAGCTCCCATTTCTGTGTATATCACACTACCCACCAATATATGGGATGCTAATATTTATTTTAAAACTTTAAACTCATGGAATTCTGCTATGTATTGGGCATGTCACTTTCTTGTAGCAGTGAGGTATACATTTTGACACTTAATGATAATAAATCTCATAGGTATACATGTGTGTGTGTTGGTCATCTTAACAAGTCCAGATCCTTCATATACAAAGACCTTAAATTATTAAATAAATCCTTAAATAAACCTAATCTTTAAAAAACTAACTAAATAGCATTGAACATTTTACATTCTCTTAATTGCTTTCTGCAGGAGCTGTTGCTTTAAAACATTTTAAGTTGTCCACTGATGCTAAAATGTGCTTGGTTTCTTACTATTAAGGTCTTTACTCTGATTAAAGTAAGCCTCCAGGATCTCTGTCTAGTAATGGAAACACTAAGTGATTCCCAAATAGACTTACTCAGGGGTTCTCAGAGAAGGAAAAAGATACAAATGACTTTGTTTGGCACCACTGAGACCATCATGGTTGACATCAAGATGTGTTAAAATCAGAAAGTTCTCACCAAAGTCAACCATTGAATTAGACGATATTTTCTAGTTGTATTTTCTCTCTCTGGTTTACTTGTACTTCTATTATATGTAGTCATATTCCTCTGTTAAAACAACGTTGCAAAACATATTATCTCCCATGTTCTTTATACTTTATTATCACAGGTTATATGACTCACTGTCTTATTCTGCTTTATGTGAATATATCATTTTACTCCAATTAGGTAAGTCTGAGGGATTTTCTTAAATCCAGCAAAATTCTACCTATATGTTCCACAAATCATCTTCTGAATAGCTGAGATACAGCATGATAGAGTGGAAAAACTACTGGAGGTTTAATTGTATTTATTAGTTGTATACAGGGGAAAGATGAGTGTTAGAGTCTCAGTTTCCCCCATCTATAATGACATGGATGTTTCTGGCCATGGTAGATTAACCGATACCAGACTTACCCTGACTACAAGCAACTGCTGACCTGGACAGAACACATGAAATAAATGTTTTCAGAAGTTGGACAACAGACAGTGCAGAACTGTGATCCCTGAGAAAAGGGAAACCAGCAAGGTAAGCCCTCCAATCACACTGGCTTTCAGCCTGAGGCACGCATTGGAGCACAGGAAAAGGTGTGAAATAAAGATGGAAACGGCCTATCACTGATACGAGGAGACAGCTCTGGAATGTAGGGAGGAGGATGTTGCTAAAATTTGTAATGCAGGCAGTACAGAGGAGCAACCCTGAGAAAGAGTTCCAGGAGTCTGTTAGGGGCTTTATGAGTCTCTGACTGGAGGGGCACAGGGACTTCATAGTGCGCAGCAGAGAAGACACACCAGGGTGCTGAAAGCCGAGCAGCCCCCAAGTTCACAGAGGTCTGGGGGACATTCGTGTTTACAGCGGGATTGGAGAGGAAAAATCCAACATCAGGAAAGAAAGAGGTGACACCATTGTATACCCTAACTTCATTAAACATACATATATATATATATATATATTAAGACAATACTATAAAAAACACTAAGCCAATAAAGTAGACAACTTAGATGAACTAGATAAGTTGTTTGAAAGACAAAAATTACCCAAACTGACAAGGATAAATAAAAAATATAAATAGCAATATATGTGTTAAACAAATTGAAACAGTTAATGAATTTTAAATGAATTTTAAAATAGTCCCCAAATATAAATTCCAGGCCAATAGCTTCACTGGTGAGTTCTGTCAATCCTTTAAGGAAGATCTGATACCAATTTTACACAAACTTTCAGGTATTAGATGAGGAGAGAACATTTTCCAACAAAACTTATGAAGCCATTATTACCATGACACCAAAAACAAGACAAAGACATTATAGGAAAAAAAGTGTAGGTCAATATCCCTCAAGAGCATAAATGCAAAACTGAACAAAATGTTAGCAAATCAAATCCAGCATTTATATGACATGTATATACATGATGACCAAGTGGGCTTTATTCCCAAAGGCAAGGTTAAACACTCACTGATCAATGCAGAATCACCATACTACCCAAATAAATGAGGTAAGTCATGTGTGTGTGATAATCAAAATTCAACATCCATGCATGATACAGACAGCAAACTGGGAACAGGAGGAAATTTCCTCAACTGAGAAAGGGAATTATCAGAACCTATGTGGCCAGGCCTGTTCCCAAGCACTCAGTCTCCCCTGGACCCAGTGACATGCCTTCTTTTATCACCTTCTACTGCCTGGTCTGTGGACCTGCCCCAGTGTGGGCCCAGCTTTGTGTAAGTAACGACTTTATCTGGTCCCAGACTGGCTCTCAATAAACCTTGGTTAGAAAATCTATGGCACTGTTATTGCAAAGGCCACCCATGTTAGTAGTTATTATTCTCATATTTATTTCTCATATTTTCAAATAATCTAATTTCTTTGAACACATGGACCACATTACATTTATAAGCTTCCCACTGAAAAATGCTTTGTTGTTGTTGATGATGCTGATGCTGATTTAATTTGTTGCCAGGAGCATGGTGTAAGTTATAATTTTGGATAATTGTGAGTGAAGGTTACAACCACTGTGGTTACATCAACTCTTCCGTGGTTTAAAAGTACATATATATTCTGATTTTAGACGTTTCAATAGAAACAGCAATTGAAGCACTGATGGTAGTGACTTGCCACTAGTAAGGATGGGGTTCAGTAACAGAAGTGGCAACTGGTGATGTATATTAGGGAATAAATATTTCAAGAAGAAAACATGGGTTACTAAGTAATATACAAATTATTAATAATGTGAGCTAGATTTACATTAGTGTCTTCTCAGTAACCTCTAACTGTTGCTAATTTTCAGCCATCTCCCCAAATAAAAGAAAGCTACTGCTTAAATATGTCCTCTCTAGATGCCAAATGCAGGGATAGGTTTTGATTCTATTTTTCATTTTCTTAGTGTATTGTTAAAAAGTGATATTCATACCCATTAGACAAATGTAGTTGGAATTGTTGCAGTTATATATAACACATCAACACCTGCTTGTTTCTTCTCATTAAAAATGTGATATGTACTGAGATCTGGTTGCGTTTGAAAGGCTGAAAATGCATATCAAAAGCAAATAAAAAATTTTGTAAAAGAGCAGTGGTGCAAACCTCTAGGAGTATCACTTCTTGAAGATGATGTATTGAAATCTGTCCTTTCTATGAATTTTCATGTGCAGCCTCTTTTATGGGTGAAGGTTTGCTCTCCTAACCCAATAGGTTTTTAATGGATGTGTTGGGGGAGAAGGTGTAGGACTTTCATTTATGTGACCTTTCCAGTAGAAGGTGAGTAATGAGAGTATTCAACAAACATCATTGTGACTGTCACATCTTATTTTACATCATAGCAGAATTCACTGAAAGGTTACTTGGACTATGTTGGCACCTCAAGTTTGTAACACACTCAATGTTTCCAAGTACCTAGACCTACCTGGGGTTTCCAGGATGGTGCAGCTAGGGTAAATGAACCGGCTCCAAAAAGCTTGATCTTGTTTCCATGATGACAAGAGTTTCCAAAGGGGGTTTTAAATAATCTTGGTTCTCTCTCACTTGACGCAAGGAGACACGAATTAATGATCACTGACAGACCACTCATGGCCCATTGTCACACCTGCGCTCTGTAGATCAAATCAGAAGTTTTTTTGTTTTAATCAATATGAATTGTTTATATGTTGTTTTCTTCAACCACCCATTTCCAAACATGACGTAGGGATCTATGATTTGGTTATATTTAATATTACCCTTAGAAGGGTATCCATGATTTAGCCTCTCATCCTCTCTTAAATTTATAATGAAAACATTTCTTTTCACCTAGCTTATTTTCTCTTGTTTATTAGTTGAAAGAATATGGGCCAGTTAAAATTCAGTTAAGAAACAAAGACATGTAAAAAAGACACAGGAAAGATTTTGTATTTGAGCAAATTAGAGAGAGTATGCTAATCACTGTAACAACCTCAAATCTGAGTGATATTATATAATTACAATGGCTCCTTCCTCTTGTTAAAGTGAAAAGAAGCTCTTTGTAGTCATTCAGGAACCAGGTTCCTCCCACACTGTGGCTTTACCACCTTCCATGTCCTTGGAAACCTTTCCACTCACCTAGCACATAGTGAAAAAGGCAGGGTAAGGATTGTTTAGGGAGTTTTTACTGGCCATGAAATATGCTGGAGATTTGAGACAACATAACCACAAAGCGGGCTGAGAATGTCCAGAAAGAGAGGGGAAAGTCTTGGTTGGAGAGCTGGCAGTCAGTGCTCTATAAAATGATGTGCAATTCCAGAAAAACAATGCAAAACTCAAAGATTCTGGAAAAATCCAAGCCAGTCACTGGTGACTTCTAAGAAGATTGTGTAGGATGTTAATTCATTGAAAAAATTGTGTATGATGTTTATTCACTTGATCAGAGAGATACAATGAGGTTTTCTACCACAGACTTCTGGGTGTTAGTAATAAAAGAATCACCAGGTATGTGGGCATTCTTCACTCTCTTAACCATTTTTTTCCCTTGATTGGCAATTGATTGACAACCACATTCATTGAGTTCTTGAGCTCCCAGGCTTAAGGCAATGTTAATCTTGTGTAAATACATACATTACATGATGTAGGGATCTATGATTTGGTTATATTTGATATTACCCTTAGAAGGGTATCTATGAGTTAGCCTCTCATCCTCTCTTAAATTTATTAATAATGAAAACATTTCTTTTCACCTAGCTTATTATATATATATATATATATATAATATATATTATATATATATATATATATCCCTCAAACAAAGATTCCCAGAAGCTCATCATATAGTTAAAATACTTCCATGTTATATTTTTCATGTTATATTCCTAGTAATAAGTAAGGCTGTACCAGAGGCTATAGAGCTGTGGGGAACAAAATAGGGGTCATTCTCCTTTAAATAAAATGTGGCATATTTTCTACTGAAAAATGAAATTTTTTTGAAATAATAGGTAAGCTGTCCTTGTTATTCATAAACATCTTATTTATGCATCTTCACTGTTGTGATAAATTAGCTGGGTTTGTTTTATATTTCCCTACAGTTTACTTTAAATAATCCTTCACAGTCGTTCACCACAAGACCACATAAGGTTCTTTTTTTAATACCCAGAATGCTGAAATAGCATTTTGAGCACAGACTGTAATGCATAACAAGTGTATTATTTCTTCTTGGGAATGCCATGCAAAAACTTGTTCCTCTCATATTGTCTGTTTTTAGCTGAATTCCTTAAAACTGCTCTGTATGTTAGGGTGCTAGTCTTTGAACTCACAACCCAAATCGCTCCTCCCCTCCTTCCTTGACACTCCCTAGCAGCCACATTCTGGCATAACTGGATCTTGAATTTCACAGCCACAAAATACTGACCAATTAAATGAGATTATTAACACAGAGCATTGCTCACCCTTTTTTTCTCTAAAAACCCGTCTTTAGTTTCCCCACCACACCCACTGAGCCTGTTTTACCTTCCCAAGGGACATTCACCTACCCACCTCACCCAGTCTGTGAGTGCTGATATCAGTGACAAAGTGTGGCTTTTATATTAAAAAGAGCCTGTATGCCAATTGCCAATTCAAACACACCACCAACCACTCAAAACCCACCCATGCCACCGTCATGATGGCTACAAATATGTGCAACTACAGACCATTATCACATGTGATACACCTGTTTAAGGAGATGTGGTTGGCATATTTGAATCTCACTTGAGGTGTCGTCTTGTGTTGTAGACCCGACTGATACTGAGGAACATAAAAAGTCTACAATTGCTTCTTCATCTTTTAAATTATGTATCATGAAAAGCTGTAGAGGGTTTTATGAAATCATTCTTTCAAAAACATGGTGGGTACCGATTTAGTAGAGACAAGATGAGAAGAACTAGGACCTGATTTCATGGAGTTCACTCTCAAGTGGGAAGAGACAGTCACATTAGGACTAAAAATGAAATGTGGTAAAGTCTATGAAAGGACCCAGACAATTTCATATTTCTCTGCTTTTCCCTGTTACTCCCTCTGGCCCAAAACCACCTTATTTTTTTAAAAACTATTCAT